TTCTCTGCCCCCCTTGTATTCTGGAATTTTAATCATACATTTCTTGTTTCTTTTGAGTGTTATCCCAAATGAGTCTAATGTTTTCTTCATTTTCCTTCCACCTCTTGTTTTTTCAAGTAGTGTACTCCTATGGCAGTTCTTGTCTTCCACTCACTGACCGTCTGTTCCATCTCTTCTGTTCTCCTATTTCGTCCATTTAGCATATTGGAAAATTCTGCCGTACTGGCCTTGGTATTCTGGAGTGCATTTTCATGCATTTCTGTTGTTTCCAGTACTGTGTCGGCTATCATCATATCTCTAGGTCTTATGATGATTTTTTAAATTATTGTACCTCTTTAAAAAGTAATAATAGGGAAAGAAACTACATCACCTGGGGAAACTGGTCAGCAGTGACAATCAAGGACAATAAATAATAGACTAGGAGAGGCAGGCTAGATTCAGAAGAGATTCACACAGAGCTGCACTGTAGAGCAGAGAAGACTTGAAGGATGTTAGGAAAGGCAGACTTTCCACTGAACAGCACCAGAAAGGACTACAGAGTGAGTTGTCCTCTCCATAAAGTGAATGCTGTAAGTCTGTATCTAATCATTAGATTCATAAAGAAAAACCTCACATGATAATCAGGAATGCAGCAGGCAGCCTCAAACATTGTGAAAAGAACAAAGTAACCCTTCTTTTAAAAATGCAGATCATCATACAGAGCCAATGAATATCCCAGAGACTGGGAGACAGAAGAAATATATTGACATGTAGTTATATGAATAGCTTCTGAAGAAGGTACAAATAATGGAAGAAAGAATAGAAGACAAAACTAAAGTGAATACTCCAGGGACAGGGAGTGAGAGGAAACATATTGAAGTGGAGTTATATGAATAGCAACTGAAGAAAGTACAAATACTGGAAGGCAAAATGGAAGCCATAAATAAAGCAAATGCTCCAAAACCGGGGGGCCAGAAGAAAGACATCAATATGGAGGAACATGAACAACCAGTTTCCCCAAGTGATGTAGTTTCCTTTCCTGTTATTACTTTTTAAATACAGATAGCCCTGCCTTTCAAAAGTTTGTTTTCATACCACTTAACTTTTACAAAAGACCTCTATTAATAACAGCTTCCACTAAACAAATTCAAAGAGGATTTTTGCAAAAGTGATAATTAGAAAGCCATTAAAGAACCAGCACACACTCTAAGCAGAGAAAGGGGTGTAGCCAAGCTCCTTTCCAGGAACAGCACTCCAGGATCTAGCTTACAAAATTTTGAATTGTGTCTGTGAACACCTTGTTGTTGCTGTTGTGTGCCTTTAAGTAGACATGAACTTATAGTAACTGTGTGAAACTTCTCCAGAGTTTCCAAGGCTGTAATCTTTTAAAATTTTTTTAAAATTTTATTTAATTATTTTTGTGTGCGTGTACCGTCAAATCAGATCTGACTGGTACAGGAGGAGATTGTCCCTCCTTACCCAGCAGAGCATCTGGTGGATTCGAACCGTTTGCCTCTGGGATTGTAGTTGCAGCTCCTTGCCACTAGGCCACCAGAGCTCCCCAAAGGCTGTACTCTTTATAGAAACAGACTGCCAAACCTTAGTCCTGTAGAATGGTTCGTGGGTTTGAAATGTCAAACTTCAGGCAGCAGCTCAGCATTTTAATCACTGTACTACCATTTACCTGTTACCATTCTTTGAGGCATTACTTATTATTTGGTATGATTCGGTAGGTTCTTTTTGGGTGTGAGAATGCTAAACAACTTTTTAAATATAAACTAACAGTAACTTGCTTCTTCACTTTATGCCATTTCAACATATAAAAGGCTTCGTAAGAATGTTCACTACTTTTGGATAGTGGCAGAAACCTGTACTAGGCTTTGACTCTTTAACCTATTTATTTTTAACAAAGAGAGTTTTCATTACCAAAATGTTTAATTAAATGTTCCTTTTCTTTTTTATTAATCTCATCTCTCATTAATAGCTACAATAATATCTCAATTATAAAGATGTATACTTGTTATTAATAATACTAATGGAAATACAATAACAATATAAGCATACTACTACTAATAGCTAACTCTTATATAACACTATGTACCATAAACTGCTCTAAATTCTTTTCATGTTGCTGTTAGATGTGATCAAGTTGACTACAACACAAAGCAACTCTATGAACAACAGGTCAGAATTTTATCCTATCCTGCGCCACTCACACAATCTCCCATATGCTCAAGTACACTGTTACAGTCACTGTGTCCATTTTGTTGAGGATCTTATTCTCTTCCTTTGATTTTTCCACTTTTTCTAGTATAATGTCTTTTCCTAAGGACTAGCCCCTCCTGATAATAAGCTCAAAGTATATGAGATAAAGTTCGTCACTGATTTCCTATTAAGAGTACCTTGGTTGCATTTCCTCCCAGACAGTTTTGTTCTTTTGGCAGCCCATAGATATTTACTACTCTTCACCAATACCACAACTCAATAGCACTGATTTTTTTTTTCAGTCATCCTTATTCATTGTTCAGCTTAAAGATGCATAAAAAATGACTAAAAATACTGTGGATTGGACAAGGTGTACCTTAGACTTAAAACAGATACTCTTGTTCTTTAGCACTTTGGAGAGATACCTGCCAGTATATTTGCCCAAAGAAATACCTCTTTTGATTTTTTTTGTCTGTTGTTACCATGGATATTGATGGGGAGTTAAGTAAAATGAAATCTTTTTTCCATCTATCATGATGTTGCCTATTGATGCAGTGGTAAGAATTTTTATTTTCTTGATGTTGAGCTGTAATCCATATTGAAAGCTGTAGTTTTTGGTACTCTGCAGTAAATGTATCAAGTCCTCTTCACTTTCCACAAGCAGAATTGTGTCATATGCACAGCACAGGCTATTGATGAATCTTCCTCCAATCTTGAGGCCATTTTCTTCTTATAGTCTAGCTTCTAGAAAGATCTGCTTAGCATACAGATTGAATAGTTACAAAGAAAGGATACAACCCTGAAGTACACCTTTCCTGATTTTAAATCATGCAGTGTTCTTTTATTTTGTTTGGATAACTGCTTCTTGTGAAGGTTTTGTATGAGCACAATTAGTGTTCTGGGATTGCCATTCTTCTCAATGTTAGCCATCATTTGTTATGACTCACATAGTCAAATGCCATTACATTGTCAATAAAACACAAGTAAACATCTTTCTGGTATTGTCTCCTTTCAGTCACGATCCATTTTACATGATATTCTTTATTTATTATTTGTAACCTGAACTCCACAGTCAGTCCTTGGACTTGTTTTGATTCCTGATAGAGAACTTCTCAATTCTTTCCACAGATATAGTCAATCTGATTACATCATTATTTTATCATTAATCTATCATTATTTTACACATAATAACTAATTTTCAACTGATGAGGCAAACTGAAGAAACAAAACAAAACAAATTTCATTGCTGTGGAGTTCACTGATAGCTGTCATTCCAGCTAGTTTTCAGAGGCTATAAACTGTGAGGACAGAGACTGCCTATTATGCAACACTGGAGCCACTGGCAGATTTGAACCAACTATCTTTAGGTTAGCAATGCAAGTTCCTACAGCCTACTCCACTAGCATTCCTGGGTAGATACTATTATTATCACCAAAAAAAGAAGTTGATGCACAGGGAGGTTAAACGGCCTATGAACACACAGCTAATAAAAGGCTTTTCCAAACTATAAATATAAGTATTAAGACTCCAGAATAACTAATGCCACATATTATCCCCTGAGTAAAAAAAAAATAAGTACTAAGAAGAATAAAATGGTGTAAGCCAAGTCAAATCCTGGCTTCAAAAAGTTTTATTTTCTTGAAATGCAACAAATCTACCAGTAAATTATTTTACTGGTAAAATAATTATTTTTACTGGTAAAATCACTCTTTACTAAAAAAAAATTATCATATAAAATAAATTTATGCAAACCTTTAGCATGCTTCATACTGTAACCTGCTATCCTGGCAAGAACAGTCCTTATCCATTGTGCCAACGTCAAAACTTGTGCAAGAGCTTCTGCATTCTCACTGAAAAATGATATTTTAAAATTATTAAAACCACTGGCATAAATAACTGGAAAGCTGAACTAGTCATCCTTCCTTGGATATATAACTGTAAAAAAATTCAAACTCCTTTAGATGCAGTTCCTAAGTCATATAAACACATATGTCTAAAAATATTTTCAGTGGGATTTTAAAATTATGGAGAAGTACAATGAAGAAGTTATCACTACACATATGCCTATCACTATAAGCAATACATATCATTAAATGGAATCATCATTCTATGTGATCAGTAAAAAACTTAGGTGACATCACTTACTTTTTTGTAGCACTTCACATCCTACATTCTAATAACTTATTAGGTAGACTTACAAGTTAAACCTTTTAAATAAGATTACACTAATACCATTTCATTTCAAAATTATATCACTTTGAAGATTAAGGTACACCTGATTCAGGCCATGAATCATTTCAATCATTTGCTATGCAACTGAGAGCTAGACAATGAATAAAAATGACAAAAGAAGAATCAATGTCTTTGAGGTGTGGTATTGGAAAGACTAATGAATATTCTATGGAATGCTAAGGACAAACAGGTATGTCTTGGAGAAAGTGCTGCCAGAGTGCTCCCTGGAGGCCAAGATGACAAAGCCTCTTCGCACATATGTTAGGCATGTTTGGTAGGAAAGGCTATTCCTTAGAGAGTGACATATTTTTGGGAAAGGTGGAGGGTTGATAAAAGAGGAAGACCCTCAACCAGAAAGACTGACGCAGTGGCTGAAGCAATGGGCTCAAGTACGTCAGAGATGGTGAGGATACCACAGATAGGACAGGGTTCAGACTTGTTATTCAAAGGGTTGCTATGCGTCATGTTCGGCTTGACGATAACTGACGACAACAACAACTTCTACTATCATTTCACCTTTCACCTAAACTACTTCAATAGACTCCTTGATATTTATATTGTTTCTACTACTGTAGTAGCCAGAGTGATCTTTTAAAAATTTAAGTAATTTTATTTTTAACAGTGTCAACTGGTGACTGGAATGCAAAAAGCTGGAAACAAGGAAGAAGGATAGGTAGTCAGTATGAACTTGGTGACGGAAATGAGACGGGAAATAAAAATAACCAATTTTGTATGTATGATGATTTATTCATCGCAAATACCTTTTTTAGAAAACACAGTGACTTTACACATGGCCTTCACCTGATGGCCTGCACAGAAAGAGACCGACTACATTTGTAGAAGGAATAATTCAAGAAGCTCAAAACCAGGCCAGGTGCAGAGTATGGAGGAGACCATCAACTAGTCATGGGCAAGTTCAAATTGAGGTAGAAAAAAATGAAAACAAGTCCACGAGAACAAAAAATACGATCTTGAGTTTATGCCACCTGAATTTAAAAATCACCTTAAGAATAGGTTTGAAAAATAAAAAAAAGATAGGTTTGAAGTACCAATGATCAAAGATCAGATGAGTGTGGGATGGCGTTAAAGATATCATCCACGAAGAGAGGAAAAGATCACTACAAAGGCAGAGGAGAAAGTAAAAACCAAAATGGATGTCAGAAGGGACTTTGGAAGTTGCACTTTGATGTCGATAAAGTGCTAAAGAATAAAGATATCAATTTAAAGACTAAAGTGCACCTGACCCAAGCCACTGTATTTTTAACTCCTCATATCCATGTGAAAGTCCGACAATGAATAAGGAATATTAAAGAAGAAATTATGCCTTTGCATTGCAGAGTTAGTAAAGAATACTGAATATACAATAGAGGGCCCAAAGAACAAGCACCTCAGTGAGTCCTGGAAAAAGTGCAGCCAAAATGCTACTCTGAAGGAATGAGTATGATACTTCATTTTAATTATTTTGGGAAACCTATCATGGGCCAGTCCCTGGAGTAAGACATCATGCTTGGTAAAGTAGGTGGTCAGCAAAAAAGAGGGAAATCCTCTGAGATGGACTAACATTGTGGCTGCAAAATGGGTTCAAACACAGTAGTAATACAGTGAGGATGGTGCAGGACTAGGCAGTAGTTTATTGTTTTATACACAGGTTCCCAATGAGTTCAGGCCAATTTGTTGCCATCCAACAACAACAATAAAGTATTATGCAATTTAGATCCGGAGTAACCAAAACAGTTACAAAAAAAGTGATTCAGGGTTCTAAGAGATTCAGTCTTAAGGACCAATTTTTCAACTTCAGAAAATGAAGGCTTGTTCAAGCTACTAAGGAACTGTTGGAAGTCACTCTG